TGATAGTCTGATGGCGGATCATTAAAAATAACAATATCAAAGTTTTCTTGTAAGGCCTGGTGAGCAAGAATGTCAGTGCATCTATTTGCTTCCCTGAACATGTGATCAAAAGTAACAATCTAGTCTTTCATGACAAAATGTCTAACTCTTATAGTAGTTTCAAAAAAGGGATGATTATCACGGATATTATGTTGAATAAGAGAGAGAGCTTCTATGGAATTGGAATGGATGTTGATTTTAGTAAATCCTGCATTCCAGCAAAGTTGAAGCCCTTCTAATATGCCCAAGAGTTTAGCCATTGTGTTTGGTTGGTATCCAAGACATTTGAAAAATCCCTTAATCTAATTGCCTTTGTCATCCCTTATGATGCCACCACAGGTTGTAGCTCTATTGGATCTAATAGACCTGTCGATGTTAAGATAGATCTAACCTACTTTTAGAGGATTCCAATGAGCCTTAGATCTTTTACTAGCATGGCTAAGGATATTATCCCTAGATTGGAGTCTTGTGTCATTGATAACTTGCTAGGTACTAGAAAATGCGATGTCTATGTTTTGGTTGATTTCATTAGAATACATCTTCTTGCATTGTGCCTTCTAAATGTTCCAACAAACTTGAGCGAAAAGCCTCTGCCAAGGAATTCTTCTTGTGTTGAAGTTGTCGGCTTTAATTTTTGCATTCCAATCAATCCATTCTTGTACAAAAAGAGAAAAGAAAGTATTAAATTTGGAAGGTTTAACAAGTTTGAACCTGACATTACGAGCTTCTTTATAGTCCCATAGAATATGAATTAAGGAGTCGGGTGAATTGCATCTAAAAGAACAAGTGCGCAAAAGATGGGTACATCCTTCAGAATTTATAGAATTGATTTAAAGTCTATCCCATGCAGCTTTCCAAAGAAAGTATTTTATTTTTTCATAAGTAGGCCACTTTTAAATCCTCAACCAAATATCAGTATTGGCTTGGTCCTTTTAAGTAATCAAGGCCTTATAAGCAGATTTAATAAAGAAATTCCATCAGAGGATGGTCTCTAAACAAGAACATCTTCATCACCAAAAGGGTTAGGTGGCTGCACAAGCACAATATGTCTTATCACTTCAGGATGAAGGTGGCAATTTAAGAGGTTAAAATTCCATCCTCCTAAGAGATTTTGAAGATTATTTGAATATCATATTGAACTTAAAATAATTGGACATGAAGGACTTCTGGCCTATAACCCTTTGTAATGTTAGTTATAAAATCATTACTAAAATCCTCTCTAATTGCTTTTCCAATGTATGAACTATCTTGTTGGGGATTCTCAGTGCAGTTTCATCGAGGGTCGATAGAGCAGTGACAATATCATTATTACTCAAGAAATTTTACACAACATGAGAAGTAAGACTAGAAATAAAGGTTTTATTGCCCTTAAGGTGGATCTTGAGAAAGCCTTTGATAGACTCTCATGGGATTTTATTGATGATACTCTCCAATTCATTGGGTTAAACAATCATTTCTAAAAATTAATAATAATTGCCATCTCTTCAACATGCATGAGAGTTCTTTGGAATGGTGAACTAACAAATGAATTCACCCCTTCTCGTGGCATTAGACAAGGAGACCCTCTATCTCCTTAATTATTTATTCTTTGCATTGAATGACTTAGCCATTGTATTCTTAGCTCCATAAATAAAAATGAGTGGAAGTCAATTAGACTAACTATTAGTAGGCCTCTAATTTCTCATTTATTTATTGCTGATGATTTCTTACTTTTTTCAAAAGCGTCTCTCAGCCAAGCTATGATTATGCAACAATGTCTCTCTAATTTCTATAATACTTCAAGCCAAAAAGTCAATGTTGGGAAATCCAAGCTCTTTTATTCCAAAAATGTCAATATTAATATAGATTATCAGATTAGTGATGAATTAGGAATTCCACTCACAGGAAACCTGGGCAAATATCTTGGAATTCCTCTTACCCATGAAAGGGCTTCTAAACTTACTTTTGCTCCTTTACTTGATAACTCTCATCTTGCTAATTGGAAGAGCTGCTTTCTCAACATTGTAAGGAAAGCTACCTTTATTAATTCTGTCCTCTTGACCATTCCTAGCTACACCATGTAGACCACGCTGCTTCCTAACAATGTCTTGGCCGACTTAGAAAAAAGATCTAGAAACTTTCTTTGGGATACTTCTGATGGTCACAAAAATCCCATCTCTTTTCTTGGGAATATGTTATCAAGGAAAAAACTAATGGGGGCCTTGGCATTAAAAGTCTCAAGTTTCAAAACATTTCCTACATCATGAAACTTTGCTGGGGTCTCTTAGCTCAACCAAATTACCTATGGGTTAGGATCCTTCATGACAAATATAAATGTCTTAAACCCACTATTCCTATGGTCTACAAAGCTAACTTCTCTTCTTACACTTGGAATAGTATACGAAAAATTTAGAACAAATTCATGACACACATTAGTTGGAAAGTTGGTAGGGGAGAGAAAATTTCTTTCTAGTACCATAAATGGTCCCCTCTCTTGGAATTCTTGTTAGATATGCTTTCCCTAATATGGAGTCTATCCTCCATGCTATGGTCTTATATCTTTGAAATCTCTCAGGAGGATGGAATTTTAACCTCCTAAATTGCCACCTTCATCCTAAAGTAATAAGGCATATTGCACTTGTGCAGCCACCTAACCCTTTTAGTGATGAAGATGTTCTTGTTTGGAGACCATCCTCTGATAGAAATTTCTCTATTAGATCTGCATATAAGACATTGATTACTCAAAAGGACCAAGCCAATATTGATATTTGGTTAAGGATTTGGAAGTGGCCTACTTATGAAAGATAAAATACTTTCTTTGGAAAGTTGCGTGGGACAAACTACAAATCAATTCTATAAATTATGAAGGATGTACCCATCTTTTCCGCACTTGTTCTTTTGGATGCAATTCACCTGACTCCTCAATTCATATTCTATGGGACTATAAAGAAGCTCATAATGTCTGGTTCAAACTTGTTAAACCATCCAAATTTAATATTTTCTTTTCTCTTTTTGTGCAAGAATGGATCGGTTGGAATGTGAAAATTAAAGCCGGCAACTTCAACACAAGAAGAATTCCTTGGCAGAGGCTTTTCGGTCAAGTTTACTAGAACATTTGGAAGGCACAATGCAAGAAGATATATTTTGAAGAAATCAACCAAAATATAAACATCATGTTTTCTAGCACCTAGCAAGTTATCAATGACACAAGACTCCAATCTAGGGACAATATCCATGCTAGTAAAAGATCTGAGGCTCATTAGAATCCTCTAAAAGGAGGTTGGATCTGTCTTGACATTGATGGGTCTATCAAATCCAATGGAGTTACAACATGTGGTGGCATCATAAGGGATGACAAAGAGAATTGGATTAACAAAGGGATATAAGTCGAAACTTAAAATTATTTGAATAAAATATTTTTAAATATCATTATTTTGTTGTGAATTATGTTATTTAACTTTGTATATTTTTTTAGTCACTCCCTTTGTTAAAAAATATAAGGTAATTTTTGAAAGGTTAGATGTTAAAAAATGTAAGGTATTTTTAGTCTTTTAAGGAGCAGCTATTGCTTTTTTTTTTTTCAAAAATACCCCTATTGAATAAATCACTTTATATTTATTTCAGAGTAAAAGACCCTATTAAATAGGGGTAAATATAAAAAAATAGGGTTAGTTTGAAGATAAGTTACTAATTTATTAGGAGTGAGATTCGGTTAAAAATACCTTATATTTTTGAATGGAGGGAGTATTATTTTAAGTTAAATATAATATTTAAAAAATATTTTATTTTAATAATTTTATGTGACATCTCTTCAAGTAGAAAATGCTGTCGAGGAGTTTCTAATTTATTATTATTATTATTATTATTATTATTATTATTATTTAAATTAAAGTTATACATTTTATTTGAATAATTTTACTTATTTTGTATTATAATTATTATTATACTTATAAATAAAATTATTATTATTATTTAATTATTATTTTATTGTTGATATAACTATTTTTATTGATTAAAAAAATACTTAACTATATTTGAGTAAGAATTATTACAATTATAAATGGAATAAAATTAAAAAATATAATGATTATTATCAAAATATTATAATTATATTTATTATTATTATTTGATTGTTAAGTAAGATTTATATTTTTTATTATTTGGTTTTTAATTTTTATTTATAGTTATATATTTTTTCTTGTAAATAGTTTATGTTAAATTTAAAATGTATTTTATTTAAATAATCTTAGATGGTGTTTCCTCCTCAATGAAGTACCACCTAATAATTATTAATTTATTATTATTTTTCGTTAATTATTTTAAATTAAATATAGTCTTTAAAAATATTTTATTCGAATAACTTTAGGTTACTTTTCCTTCTCAAATAAATTTCACCTAAAGATTTTTATTATTTGGTTGTTAATTATTTCATTTAAAGTTATATATTTTTTCAGTTATTATTTTAAGTTAAATGTAATATTTAAAAATATTTTTTTAATAACCTCATCTGGTGATTGCTACCTAAGTTTCTAAATTATTATTTTATTAAAAATATAATTATTTTTATTGATTAATAATATAAATAATTAACTATATTTAATTATAATTATTACTATTACAAATGCAATAAAATAAAAAATATAATAATTATTATTAAAATATTATTTCGTTTTTAGTTATTTTATTTAAAGGTATATATTTTTTCTTGTAAATATTTTATGTGAAATAGATTATTAAAAAATATTTTATTTAAATAATCTTAGAGGATAAAACACCACCTCACAACTTTTAATTTATTATTATTTGATTTTTATTTTTTTTTAAATTTAAATCTCTGGGTTTCTCTAAAAAAGAAAAATCACTGGAGTGTTTTTAAAAAAATAAAAAAAAAATTACAGGTGACGTTTTGGCAAACCCCAAACGCCATTGCTGATATATTTGATTTTTTTTTTAAATTTATTTCTAGGAAGCCAAGCCAGCCGTCCACACTTAGCCGCAGCCCTGATTTTTCTGAACCCTAATATCCTCAGCTTCAGCCTCTATGTCCAATCCACGGCGAGGCGGAGAGCGAGGGAGGGACATGGCTAATGCATATTGGGATTCGAGGGGGCTGGAGATCGTGAAGAAGCATGATTCTAGAGGCCTCATACGGAAGAGAATGAAGCTCACCTCTACTCGTAAAGCCAATGCTAAGAAGCTTCTTCATCGAGTTTGGTAGGCATGTTCTCTATTGCTTTTTGTATTTCTCATAGTTTTTACAGATGAATCATTGATGTCTTTGCGCCAACTGTTGCTCATGTATTCTTTTCATTCTTCTCGAGAGCTTGAAATCTTCGTAGATACTTGAACTCGATTCGTGCTGTTTAGTGGATTTTCTTGTATTCAATGTTTTTCTATTTGCTATCGCAATTCTGATTGTTCATGTGCTCTGAAAACTTTTTCATGCTCCGAATTGCAAACCCTTGCATTGTCTTCCATAATAAGATCCAGGCTGGGTATACGTGATTTCCTACGAGGTGGTCGGGTTCCTGTGTGTAAATGACTTCATAAATATTGAACTCCATAAATTTGTAATCACTGTTTAGTCATCCAGAAGAAAAACGATTGGCTATGGCATTTTGTGAAATAGGCCCCCGACTTTGAACCCTGTTGTGTTTTTAGATATATGTAGCGCCCTCATATTTCTATTAGAGCATGCTACAGCAGAAGGTAGATACATCTGCTGCAGTAAAAGCTGTTCACTATCCAAGTTATATAACCTTCTCTTCCAAAAGCATCCTTCCTGAAATATGTAGAGGTAACAATTTTCACTTCTTTAACCAGGTATATCTAAATGTGTTTTAAGATATATGCAGCGCCCTCATATTTCTATTAGAGGATGCCAGAGCAGAAGGTGGATACATCTACTGGAGTAAAAGCTGTTCACTGTCCGAGTTATATAATCTTCTCTTCCAAAAGCATCCTTGCACAGATATACAGAGGTAACAATATTCTCTTCTTAAATCAAGTTTTGTATCTAGATTTAGACTAAACCAGCACTTTAATCTCTAAAATTATTAAATACTTGAAGGAGTAGATAACATGCTAGGAGTTCGATAATTTCTTGGAAACTAACTCATGCGGTCATCAATATCTTGAGACTATTGTTATTTTACTCTTTGGTTTTCATATGAAACTTTGTTTTTGTTTGTCTTCTATTTTTTTCATGCATATACATCTGATCTGATAAAAGTGATAACAAGTTCGTCTTGAGATATCCATATCCATCATTAAACGATCATGAGAAATGAAGGGTCTAGTTCCCAAAAAATAAAACTCATCTAAATGGTACTTTTCTTGGTTGTATCAGAGTTTCAGATATTCATTCAAGTGCTGTCAAAATTATGTTTTATTATGTTCTATCAATGTTAGACTATGAGTATATTTCCATCGGCATGATTCTTAAACGAAGAAACCTACACTTGTGGTCTCTCTCCACTCATTCGAATTAATACTCAACCATTAATGAGAGAAACAGGGAAACAAAGTCAAAAATAAAATCAAGAAATCTGTGTTCTACTGTTCTGCTTATTCACATCATGTTTCACAAAACTAAGTAAGAATGCAATTGTAACTTTTAAGCCTATGGTTTGGTTTAAATTCCTCACTAGTAAAGCTGATCTAAAGTTTTGCTATTAGAGGCCTCAGAATTTTTATTAAAAATAACAATATTATTATTGTTTTAGTTTTGTTTCGGGCGTTTTTTATTTCATTTTCTCTTGCTTTTCAGGACACAGGTACAATATTTACTGTGCTACTTATTTATTTTACTTTTATGTTTCGGTTGAATGAGATCATTACCTCTAGTCCAAAGATGGCTCATAGCAATAGATCACCTGAATTTCCTTGGATGAAAGATGGAGTAGGATTGCCGCCCAATGCATCAGAATTACTTGTCTAGCTGGTAATGTTTTTGGAATATAGAAATGCATTATGATAGCTTAGACCTCTCGCTTTGAGAATCAGGACAGGCACAAAAATGCACTATCTGAATTAATAAATGTACTCTGGTTCTTTCAGGTTCTGCCTTATTTGGATTTTATTATTTAATTTGATTTTATCTTTATCATCATTAAATTAGAACGATACTCAAGTTATTCCTGCATTTCTTATGTTAGCTTCACAAGCTTGTTTTCCATAATTACTTTGAGTTCAGGCATAAATCCCAGCGTGCATTTTATATTCTGGAGCATCAAATGATTTGAATTACTGTTATTTACAGCTAGTTTTTATTTTTTGACAAGCTGGTGTTAATAGTAAAATTGTATCAAAATTTGAGCTCTTAGTTGGAAAGGCTATATTCTAAAAACCTTTAATGAAGCAATCCCTGTTATAACCAATGCATGGGATAATTGCTCAATCAGGCTATTAATTACAGATTCAAGTATAAGTCCTGTTGTCAACAATGAAGTATAACTTTATTATATACAGAGTATATGAGAGATGATGAGATTAGAATGCAATTCTTGATAGAAATGTTGTATTTTTACTTTGTTGCCTTAAAACTTTTTTATTCTATCATTTTGACATTCTAGATTGGTCAAGTTAATAAATAGCTCTAATTGAAACAAAGCAAAATATCTGGATTGGGTGGTATTTTGCTTTTATAGCCTACCTTTTACACTAGGATAGAGCCAGTAATTTAAGCTAAGCTCGATGGGCTAGCTCTAAAAATTTAGAACTAAGCCCTAAAAAAAATTATTTTTTAATATTCAAACCTATTCGGGCAGCTTGAATAGGCTCGAGCAAATTTGGGCCAAGTCTGAACCCGATTGGGCTTGGCCCAAATACTTGAATAAATTTTTTTAAAAAATGTATGAAATATATTAATTAATTTTTTAAGTTTTATATCATTTTATATTGAAATACTATGTATTTGAGTGCATTACTATAGTTATTTTTTAAAAAAATTAAAAGCATTTATATTTTCATATTTTTATTATTTTTAATCAATAAAATATCTCAAAATAATATTTAAAATATATTTTAATATTAATTTTTATGTTTTAATAAGCAATTTTTTTAAAAAAAGTTTTAAGTCCCATACATCATTTGCGTATCTGAAAAATTATATTTTACATCTTTTTATAAAATAAGATAATTAATTTTAAAGTAAAAACAAAATCAAAAATAATTTTAAAAATAAAATTCGGCCATGTACGAATTCCCTGTTCTACTACTAAATAAACATAATAAATAGAATATTTTTGAATAATTATTTGGTTATCATCTATGCTAGATTTGGTTAAAAATTAAGAATAAAATAGAGTAAAAAGTAAAAAATCTTTGTATATAAGGGTTAAATAATATAAAAAGTTAAAGAAAAATAATTAAAAAAATAATATTTTACTCATAATTAAATAATTTTGTTTTATATAATATAACAAAGGCTTTTTTTTCCTTATTCTTATAAATAAAAAGTACAGTTTATCTAAAAGTTATTAAAAGTTTTGAACTAATAGGAACAATGATTTTAAGTTTTTAGTAGTCTAATCATGATTGAATTATTAAAAAATATGATTTGATTAAAATATATAAAATATTTAGACATGATCATGATAAGAGCAATATTTAAACAACTAAGATATTAATTTACAAGTAAAGGAAACATTTATAAATAAATTAGACATAATATACCAAAACAGTAACAGAGCTACTTATGTACAAAGTTGATAAGTTATTATTTTTATTTTATTCTTTTCAAGTTGAAATAATATTTTATGTTTAACAGAATTATTTAAAAATTAAAATTGATTCAAAAAATAAAGAAAAAATATTTTTAAAAAGTTTTGAGTATTCGGGCTTGCCCGAATAAGCCCGAAAGTGTTAGAGCTGGACTTGGCTATGTGGGCTTTCTAGAGGGGGTAGGATACTTTAAGCGTATCAAAATAAGCCCGGCTAGAATTGAACCCGACATGAATAAGTCCGGCCCGCCCGAATTACCGGTTCTATACTAGGACGCCCTGCACCAGTTTATATATATCACATTAAAAATACAACCACCGCTTGATGTAGTTTAACAAGTCCATTTTATTGTGTTTCTGTCCTGTAATTTTTAGTTTTTTCGGTTCCCCTCAAACTTTGTTGAACCCAGAAAGCTTGTGTTATTCATTGGATGCAATTAGATTGCTATTCTTTTGCTGGGGAGGCTCTCAATGATGGAATGAACTGATTGGAAACACTGGTGTGCAGGTTGCATGATATAATTACGTGAGTAATGTGTTCCCCCTGTACAGTGCATTTAAAATTAGTGATTTTGCTGTCCATATGTCCTCATTAACAAGTGCGCTAATTGATTGATTTAAGTTCATAAATGTGTTTCTAATGGAGGGAAGGTACTTATCCCAACATTTGCTCTTGGAAGAGCTCAGGTACGTTTTCTAAAATGATCATTAATCTTGCTGATGGTAGTTTATGATTTCATAGGCTTGCAACTATTGGACATAGTTCTAGCAGCCATTGTACTTATTGCATATTTGATGATGGAATTCGTAGTTTATGTATAGTTTTCCAAAATGAGCTTATGTACATTTTTGTTTTGTATTTTATTGTTAATAATGTATGTATTGATATTTTTAGTTAATATAGTTTTCAAATTTATTTGTAATCTGTGAGAATTATGCATTTATTACTTGAGTTCTGATCCTACTGTATTTCAAAAATACTTGTGATCTGTACGAATTATGCATTTAATAAAAATATTTCAAAAAATGAGACAAAAAAATATAAGCCACCTCTTAGTTATTTTTTAAAATATATATAACGAGAGGGAATGCCACCTCTTTATATATCTTTTTAAATGTAAAAGAGCAGGAAATGCCGCCTCTGGCTCTTTTTAAATGTCAGTTTTTTGCGGCACTTCTTTAATTAATGTAACATCATCGTAAACTTTAGATAGCTTTGAAACTTGAAGTGTCTTATAAACGCTATGAAATTAAAATTTTATATGCTATGAACGTCTTTTTTTTTTTTTTGTAGTAATGAAATATAAATTTTAATTGAAGGTATGGTAGAAAAAATTATTAAATTACTCAAAAATAAATATTTGTGGATATCATTTTATATTTTATGAAATTACATATCTGTTGATATCATTTTATATTTTCTATGTTTATAAAAAATATTTTCATATGATTAAAATTTTATTTTTATATTTAAAGCAACATAATAAAATAAAAAAATTATTTGTTTTTATCGTTTTATATTATATATTGTACTTATAATAATAGAAAAATTATTTTTGTAATTATTTACTTTGGTAATTTTGAAGAATTTTTTCATGTGAATCTCTCTATGTATATCATAAATTTTTTATTTTATAAAATATTTAAGTATGTTTTACTAATTTTTTAATTAAAAATATCTGTAACATATCTATTACTAATATAAAGATTTAGTGACAGAAATTAGTAATGGATTTAAGTCTGTCAATAAATTTTTTAAATTTGAACAAAATGTGATGCAATCTTTTATCAGTCATTAAGACGTCTTTAATTTATGTAATTAGTGACAAATTTCAGTTTGTCAAAAGATGTCTATCACTATTTATCCATCACTAAATATTCATTACTAATTTTAATTTATATAATAGTTTATGTGGGTTTAATTTTTTTTTTCCTAATAACAAGATATGTTTCGACAACAAATGCAAACGACACAGAGAAAAAGAAAAATGGTAGGGATCTCACTTTGATTATTATTTGAAGAAAGTCTTAATTATTCGAATCCTAGGAGAATCCTTTTCTTCCTAAATGAATCCAAGCTATAAATATAATTACTTGAAGAAAATGAGTGGACTTTAGGGTCTTGTTATTCAAATCCAAGATGTTAAAAGAGAAAAGACATAAAGAAATCCAAAAGCCATGTAATTACGAAAATTTCAAATACTTCGTATATTATTACAGCATGTGGAATCACTCCAATCTACAAGATAACTTGATCCCCAAAAAAAAAAAAAGATGAGCCATGATTATTATTAAACCCAAAAAGAAATATCATTTAATCGATCAATTAGTAGGCCCCCTAACATTTTCCATTAACAAAGCCTTGATTTTTTTCAATGATACTACAACATCAATCATGGTAAGCCATGCTATCGGTGGGTCAATGCAACAATTTAATGCTAAGTCAAAAATTGATCATACATGAGGTAATATAATATTGGAATTTTTGTTATCCCTGTTCAACAAGTTGGCATCTATAATATTGATGATTGAATATGGTGTTGATTTGTTCACCAATCTTTCAAACTTAATCTATGAACAAACATCTCTTCTGTCAGCTTCTTGTAAAGATTTCCATTAGCAAAATACTATAACTATACACATCTCCTTTGACAGTAACAACTCCTTTAGATCCATATTCTGTATGTCAAGTTGAATGGTTCGTATGAAGGTCATGATGTCAAAATCATAATATAAGGATTGTGGTTGAACTTTTATTTTGCATCATTAATTCAAATCTTTACGCATGAAGACGTGCAAATAAAATAATATAAAATTTTATAAAGCATAAATAAAACAATAGAACATATAGAAATAAACCCAAAATATTATTATCAAACCATTACCTAGGGCCATATATCCAATTGTAGCCAAAGTTTTGGTATAACTTTTCAATTGTCCTTCTCCAAACAATTTAGCAATGCCAAAATCACTAAGATGAGCCACCATATCTTCATCCAACAAAACATTGTTTGGTTTCACATCACAATGAACAACTTGTGTAGAAGAATCATGATGAAGATACTCTAAAGCAGTTGCCACATCAATCATTATTTTCAACCCTTGTATGACATCTAAACAGTACTCATGAGAGTACAACCATCATTCGAAACTCTCATTTTCCATGAATTCCATTATTAGAGATTTTAAATGATCATTTGAGCAACAATTGATGATCTTAATGAGATTGCGATGGTGTAAATTGTACATAGCAGCACATTCAATATCAAAGCTTCTTAATGCTGCTTCTATTTCTATGTTAAATACTTTCATAGCAAATTTTTTGTTTGGAAGAATTGCTTTATATACTAATCTAAAACTTCCATATCCAAGAAGATTGCATTGATCAAATTCACTTGTTCCCTATAGAAGTTCATAATAGGACATCTTAGTTGGTGTCTCCAAACTTACTAAATACCTTTCGATTGAATAAATATCATCATCTCTCTTATGCTTATGGAAGACTACTAAAACAACCAAAACGACAATCATGGTATGCAATGACCATTCTATCATCAGCATCACTTTATCTATCTAATATGTGCTTGTTTCCTTTCCTACATGGTTGGACTTGTAGTCAATGATTTTCACAAAGACCTTTATTCATCATAAAAGATGTGACAGTAAAATTTTGAAAAGGCCCACCATTTGGAATTTCTCCATGCAATAAATTGTAGGAAAGGTCTAGGTACTTTAGATAAGGTAGTGACTCTAAGGAACTTGGAATCACACCTGAAAAATAATTTTCAGAAATATCCAAGAACTCTTTGTTTATCTTGCCACCAAGCAATTCAGGAATAGGCCATTGTAATTTGTTATGGGCCAAAGATAAGTTCTGCAAAGTTTGCAAACTACCCATACTTTTAGGGATGCTTCCTGAAATTTGATTTCTTGATAAGTCCAATAGTATAATTGTTCTCAAGTTTGATACCTCTGGTGAAATTGTCCCACTCAATTCATTGGATGATATGTCTAAGATCAAGATATCTTTGAGACTCCGAAGAGAAGAGGGTATATGAGAAATCAATTTGTTTGAGCTAAAATCTAACTTCTGTAGGGAAGTATTCCCAAAGCATCCTGGAACCACTCTTGAAAACATGCTGGAAAGATACAACATACTTAAGCTTTTGAGTTGGTAAAGTTCATCTATAATGGACCCTTGCAATCTGTTGTAATTGAGACTTACAAAATGGACGCTATGTAATTTGCTAAATGTTTTAGGAATCAACCCATTCAAATCATTCTAACCCATAGATAATGCCATCAATTTTGTTAAATTTCCAAGTACAATGGGTACAGCCCCACTAAATTTATTCGATGACAAATATAATGAGATGAGATTAGAAACATTTGATATGTTTTTCTTGGAATTTGTCCAGTTAGTTCATTCATCTCCAACAATAAAAACTTCAAGTCAGGAAGGCCAACTCCTAAATATGGTGGGAGAGGGCTAGAGAGGGAATTCTGATCAAGACATAATAAGTGTGTCAATGTTGAAATGTTAAAAACATTTAAAGGATTATGGCCTTTGAAATGATTAATGGACAAGTCCGATATATTAAGTTTATCAAGATCGCCCATTTCCTTGGGGTATAAAACCTAGAAATGCAAAAAGAATAGGTATAATAACATATTTACAACTTAATGGATTTGTAAAAAGAAAATATAACAGGTATATACACGTATCTTTCTAATCCAAAAACTTAATATTTGTTCTGCTAATTAATAATGCATATATATTAGTTTTTAAAATTGAAAAGAATTAGGGAAATCATAAACTACCCTTGAGATGCCATGGTTATAGAAGGTTCATTTTAAAATTAAAGTTTTTATGTTGTAATTGTTGAATAATTATTTAATAGGAAATTAATAAATTTGTTAAATAACAAATTATAGGTATCTTACTAATGCAAAAACTTAAATGTTTGTGTTATTCACATAATATTCATATATAATATGAATTTGATATGCAATAACATTTTGAAAAAAAAACTTACATATTTAACTTTATATACTTGAAATGGTTATTTCCAATTAAATTCAGACACGTAAATCTTTTATATATTATTTATTTCATATCAAATTCTTGTTATAAATATTATTAATATATTAAAATTTAATTTTTTTGATTTAATTGAATAATAAAAGTACATTAAGTATATAAGACTAAGTATCTAAGTATTTTCCTAACATTTTTATAACTAAGCGGACTTTAACAGCAAAATAAAACATGTAATATTGTTTGCTGATAATATACATATGTACTAAAAAAAAACCAAACGCGTCGTACCAATTCCAAAATTTGAATATTTATCAATTAATCATGTGGCATAAAGCATTAAACAACTTTTTTGGCGAGTTTTTTTTTTTGGTGTAGTTGATGTGATAAATTATTAAGTATAATCAGCTCAAAAAAAAAAAATCCACATCATAGTAACGATGCGAGTTGAAATGTTTTATTTTTAATTTTGTTCTTTTGCATACTTTCTCCCTCCTGTTGATTTTGCATACCTCTTAATTTTAAATTAAATAATTTCAAAAACTATTACACTAAAAACTTAAATTTGAATAGTTTTATTTAATTTCACAGAAAATTGAACATGTTGAATAATTCCTCTTTAAAACCAATGAATTAAAATGATGCAATCTAATTATTTGTCTGACTATTGAAAACATCTCGGATTCTCGTTCATCTTAAGATTCGGTCGAACTAGTGTTTTGGAGTTGCATTTATATTTTTAGGAAAAATGAGCAAATTGATGGGACCCTAAACTCATATTTTATGCAATTTTTTGGGTCCTTGTTCGTTATTTTAGGTCCTTTATTGTTATTTTTGAATCATTTTTTTATAATTTTTGAGGGGCCAACATAAAATCTTATGTAAAGTTAAAAGGCTAAAAGTGCACTTTAGCTTATATATATATATATATATAAGATGCATTAATTGAAAGTTATTAGGTGGCACAAAATCTAAAAATGAAAAAGTAATGGTATTTTAGATTTACTCCATTTAAATATGCAGGAACGATAAGAAATTACGCTTGAATTGATGAAAAACAGAATCCTATTTTAGATTTACTCCATTCAAAAAAGAGATTAAAAAATGGAAACATAAATTTAGGTGCTTTATACATACCTGTAAATGAGTTACCATCCAAATACAATTCCTTTAAAGATGTGCAATTACTTATTGATTTTGGAATGCTTCCCTCTATGATTATCAGCAACATCAAAGATTTCAAGTAAAGGGAGCTGATGGCACAATTCTTCTAGCAAATTACCATTTAAATGATTCATGCCAAGCTCAACCTCTCTCAAAGAAGACATGTTCCAAATAAATGAAGGAATTCCACCTAAACAAAGTACAAAATGTTTGATTGTTGCTAGTAAGGATAAGACTGTCTATTCCCCAAATTCTCACAGAGATATAAATAATACATGAAAATTTGATAATTAGAGGCTTAACATTAATAGAAAAAAATATACAATAACCTTTTTTGGCAACTCCCTCATGTAAACATTAAATGGACTTTTATAAAAGCCATGTGTGCAACAACTTTTCTTGACATAAAAATTCAAAATTAGTAGTTAAGAAAAATGGATTGCATTAAACATATCAAGTATATTATAATTTTTACACTTAAAGTGGTTTCAGTTAAAAATTTTGCTAACAATATAGAATAAGCATAATAATGAATGAAAAGTTGGTTGAAGAATAAAATTAAGGGATGGGTACATTGAGCATACCTGTAAAGGAGTTGTAATTTAGATCTAATATTTCTAGACACGTCTCATTGCCATCTAATGTTGGAAGATTTCCATTCAAATTGTTTTTCCGTAAATTTACACTTCTTATAGTAGAAATGTTAAATAGGGATGATGGGATTTCACCTGTTACAATTTGAAATTTTATTTTCTGTAATGAAAGTAAGAGTTGAGTTAAAATATAAACTTTGATTTGTTGACAATGGGTTACTTTGGGATTGACCGTAGGTACATAATCTAACTTAGGTGAGGATATTTCCCGAGTTTCATAATTTCATGCTTACTTTTTTAATTAAGCAGTAATTTACTTGTTGTTTTTAATTTATTCGGTTCTCCCATACCAAAAGATCCCTTCTTGATTCATTTGGTGTGTTTTATAAAAAAAGAATTACATTTCTCTAGGATAAAATTTGAAACGAATTATCCTGAAATTATACTTATATCATCATTACCCAATATCATTTTTATTTAGAGATAAAAATATATTTTAAAAAAATTTGCAAAATATTTTTGCGGCTTGAGGTTACCATGCTTCTTCAAAGTAGAGCAATCATTAAAAAATAAATAATGATTGGATTAAAGTGAATTTGGATTTTAATTTGAACCATAAATCCTCAATTTAGATTTTGCATACCTAAAAGTTTATGGATTTGGAGTTCAAATCCAAATCCATCTTTAATCATAACTTTTTGGTAATTTCAAATTTCCTCTATATCTAGTTATTTAAATTTTTAGTCATTTCAGCTTGTTCTTTTCATATTTTTACTATTATTGTCTCTATTACTCATGTTTTATCTCTCATATCTCGTTCTTATATATATATATATATATATATCATTGATTGAAGAATAGTTATAAGTTCATGACTATTAATCTTTTATTTTTGCTTTGAACTTTGGCTGATCCACTTCTTCCTTTAAAATTTTTACAAATCCAAACAAATTATTTTAAATATATGGATTTTAAAGGCATAATTACAAACCTAAAATCGGAATCCAAATCAATTAATGCAAAAGTCACCTAAGGTAATTCTTTTTTTGTGCAAGATACTTTTTTCATCATAGAACGATGTATAAAAATATCTTTTTTAAAAAATAATCTATTTATATACTTGTTACTCCTTAGTTCTTATGAAGAACATTTGTTAATTTCAATATGAAGTTAATTAATTGGTAAACTCTCCAATAATTAGTGAAACCATTCACTCACAAGAGTTTAGTTATCCTCATATTTATTATCACCTTTATGTAAAATAATGACTTACAACTAACAAAAGTGTGAAGTCATAAATGAAAACAAAATATATATTTTAGAAAAGAAAATTAAATCTTAAGGCCATTAAAATAATTACAAAGCTTACAAAATTAATTGCAAATAATGAGTCTATATGACTATTTTTAATGAGGAGAAGTTAAGAATATGCACTTTATTGGGGTCCTTCAAAAAAACTAATAAAAATATTTTCAAATTTGTATTATTTTCTGTGGCAAAAAAAAAAAGTTAATCATTTTGTATGAAAGGGCATGAATTGGAACTTTGTTCCTAATGTTAGACCCACGCTAGTGGATAATTTATAAATAAATCTATAAATATTCATTTAAATTTGTGGTGCATTATATCCTCGGTGAGTCTTCTAAAGTTCACTAAACTCTTGCTAATTAATGTGTTTTCATTTGATTATGTTTTCTATCTAGTGCTGCTTTAATTTGTTCTCTGCCTTCTTTGACACAGCAATTAGTAAAAAAAAAAAAAAAAGCCCAATTTAAATGGAATGTGTTATGTAGTTTATCCTTCTCCTTTGTGTTGCTCTATCTTTACATCCACACTCGTTCTTATTCTCCTTATCAGTATGTGCGATCTCATGTCGTGTACTTCACTGAGACACATGCAATGACTGACCCAGGAAAATAAGTTAATGGACGTAAAACTATACCTAGTATTATTTTCTGAAAAATTTAATTAGTTGTGATTAAAAAATTATAAAAATTATTAGTTTTATGAGATTACAAAATTAAACAATATACCATTGTTAATTCTTAGATACCATAATTTTAGTTATGAAACTTTATTTTATTATATAAGTTTTACAAAAAAAAACAATTCATAATAAATGTTAAAAACTATGTTACAAAATATGTGTATATATATATGATTGAGTGAGCCAAAATATATATTTTTGATATTTTAAAATGTTAAATAGCGGGGGACAAATGGAATTTTATAGAGCTTTGTCACTTTCTTGGACCACATTTATGTTTTCATTGCATTATTTCATTTATGGTCAATTTTGTAGGCCATAGAGAACACCCCCAAAAGAATGCCAGCGAGAAGAAA